GAGGGACCAGTGTTATATAATGAGCTAATAATTATTAAAACACTTATACATCTAGAATCATATGTACATTATTTTCTGAAATCCTTATCAATAGCCCTACACATTAGGTACAATTAGTAGTCCATATCCTGAGAATATATATGCTTTTATACCTGAAAAATCACAAAACTAGGGAAGTGTGGAAATGGAGATTTCAGTTTATGTCTCTCAGACAGCAAAATCCATACTCAGAACACCAAGATTATATTGTCCTGCTTATAGACTTCTGGTATGATTATGCCCCTGTAAAGCCCCACACAAACCAACTGCAGAAGTAAGTCACTGATATCAAGGAGGAGGAACAATCCATCCCACCAATTTAAAGAGTAAAAGTACCCTTTAAATATGATACATTTTCTACATAAGAGACTAATTTAAGAAAAATTTCTTTCTCTTCAAAATAATGACGCTAAATGAGAAGTGATTTAAGCTTTACAATGGCTTCATCAGAACCTCATCTGTCAAATCCCAAAATCATGCTCCTAGAACACATTTCTCAATAAAGAGAAATCAGCAGGGGGAAAAGGCAACTATAAATCAAATAGGTAAAAGTATGAAGTTAGTGTGAGCTAATGAGCATAAAACAGTCTTTTAATATTTTATTTTATATAATTCTTACATCATTTTTCATTTTTGCACAATGTATGCATTTTTATTTTGGTTATATACCCCATACAATTGCACCCTCCCCCCTTATTTTGACCCTAATCCTTCCTCTCCCCCCTCCCTGTAGTGTGTCTCTGGTTTATAGTTGCCTGTTGATTTTGATTTTGATTTTGTATTAATTAGTATTGTATTCTTTTTCCTGGTCCCTTATTTAGGTTTTCTCAATTCCTGCTATGAGTGAGACCATCCGGTATTTTTCTTTCTGACTTATTTCACTGAGCATGATCCCTTCTAGATCCAACCATGTTGCTGCAAACTGCATGTGTTTATCTTTTTTGATTGCTGAGTAATATTCCATTGTGTATATGTAGCACATCTTCTTGATCCAGTCACCTATTTTGGGGCATTTGGGTTGTTTCCATAGCTTAGCTATTGTAAATAGTGCTGCTATAAACTTAAGGATGCAGGTGCCCTTTGGAATTAATGTTTCTGTGCCATTTGGGTAAATACCTAGGAATGGATTTGCTGGATCATATGGAAGCTCTATCTTTAGTAGACTGAGGAATCTCCACACAGTTCTCCATAGTGGTTGGACCATTTTGCATCCCACCAGCAGTGCAGGAGAGTTCCTTTTTCTCCACAACCTCGCCAACATTTGTTGTTGCTAGTTTTTTTAATATGTGCTATTCTCACTGGTGTAAGATGGTATCTCATTGTAGTTTTGTTCATGAGCCACCACCAACACCACTACTGCCTTCATCATCATCATCATCATCACATCACTGCCATCATCATCACCATCATTGCTATGTTATTACTATGTAACCTCATCCCCAAAGGGAACACCGAAGGAGTTAGGCTTCTGTTTACCCTCAAACAGGCACTGTTTGTACTACCAAGAGGGTTAATCTCTTATCTTTTTCTCTTAGAAAAAATGGGGCATGGTGAGTAATAGTGATCAGGACATATGTTATTATTATTACCAATAAAGTACACTAGAATTAGTAAAATCATCAAAAAATCATGGTAAAATTACTTGGAATTATGAAGTTGGCATAACAGCAGAAGGATAATGCCTCTTCTCACAACCTATATGGCACATATCAGGCTCTTTTGTTAAAGGATTTCATTGCTATGCTACCTCTAAGAAATTCTTTATTATGACCTAAATAATAATATGTGTTAAAGATTAAGGAACTGATGATAGGAAACTGAAAAGTCAACCCATAAGCCCTCCATTTGCATTTATACCAGAGGACAACCAGACACCCAGGCAACTCTACAGCCTAGTAACAAAGAAATTCACAGTCTCACAGCAGAGACTTACCCTGTGACTCTAGATATAGCTGTGCTTTCAGAGGCCTGGTTTTGGTGACAATACTTCTATCACTTTCAAGGAACAGTTCTGTTGTCGTGGAGTACTAAGTAGGAATCAATTGAAATTTATATTGGGCTTTGCTTTGTAGCTACCAGTTTTAGCTAAAATTACTATCATAATTTACTTTGTGCATGCTCATATGTAAGGAGTAGGACTTTATTTCCTATTAATTGATTTATTGTCTCCTATACAACAATATGAAATAATACCAAACTGCTTCATTTAAGATTTATGATTTTATGTCTTTTCCAGGGCAGTAGAATAAAACAGCATGTAAAAGTTAATATTATCTCAATGTATACTGCATTTACATAAATTGAACAGCATTCTCCCTTTAAAACAACTTTAAAAATCTTTCAATACATGATTAAAAGTACTTTTTAAAATTTTTCCTCATAAAACTTAAATACATCTACTACACCTGTAAAACTTCATCTTTCAGCTATACAAATTATGAAACAGAATCCATAAATCTGCTACATAGGTAATGAATCATAGGTCAAAATAGAAACATTCATAAAAATAATTGCTAAAATACTCTGCACTTACTAACAGCTAGGAAGTACACTTCATGCTTTCAAAAGTCATCTCTTTTAACCCTTGCAACAACTATATGAGGTAAAAAACTATGATTATTCCCCTTTGTACAGGTGAAGAAAATGAGTCTTAAAGTAAGGTTTGTCCAGCTCAAGACTGCACATTTCGACTGGACAATTCTTTGTTATGGTGGAGATGTACTGTGCACTGTAGAATGTTTTGCAGCATCTTTGGCCTCTACATCTTAGATGTCAAGAATTTACTCCCACACCCAGATGTGACAATGCCAAATGTCTCCAGACATTGCCAAATGTCCTCTGGGGGAACATCACCACACATGAGAATCACTGGCTTAAAGAAATGAAGTCATTTATTCAAGTGCATACACTCAGTATTTAGTAGAGCAGGGATAAGAAAGCAAGCATTGAGTCTACAACACATGCTTATCATCCAGTAAGATACAGTGTTATTCACTCTATGATAAGTCAAAGAACATAAATTTTCCTTCAAATAGAAAACTGAAAATGATTGCACCCTTCCAACCTTTTTTTTTCTTAGTTAGGGCTCTTGTCCCAATTGCTATTACGTAGCACAGTTTGATCCCCTTCTTTCCATTCTGCTCTTGTGTCTCAAAAGAAAGTCAACCATCACTTGCAGCTGATTCACCCCTTCAGTAAATAAAGACACATTCCCTACCTTCCCGGAGCCCTTGAACTTCTTGGACTGTTTCCTACCAGTTTCATTAGAGGACCCGAGCCTTCCACCCTGCACCATGTCAAAGTGCAGGCCCTTTGCACAGTGATCACTGAATTCTGGTTTCTCTCTGAAGGATCTCCCAAGCCCTCAGACACTGAACAATTCCATATATCAGACTTCCCATGTGCATCCTACACACCATTATCTTTTAGACTCCTAAGAACCCAGGAAGCAAGTATTATGATTTCCATTTAACCATGAGGAAACTGAAGTTCTGGCAAATAGGGGAACCTAGCCAAGCATTATACAGAATTTGTTCCAGAACTCAGATTTCAACCTAAGCATGGATAACTGCAAACCCCTGCTCTTGACTCAACCTTGTATCTTTCTTATTTCATGACTGAAGGAAGACTACAAACATTCTTCTTTTCAAGCAGATTCTCTACTTAGCCTACGCAAGCTTTCCTAAACTTTTCATCCAGGTCCCCTCTCTTTGACATCCCAAAGTTACAAAAATAAACAGTCCAGATTTGAGAGTGATTCCAACTGTGGAAAGCCAGGGGATAAATCAGACACTGACCAGGGGAACTTTGAAAGGAACTATCATACTAACTTGGAGGATACAAAAATACAAAACACATTATCTTTTATGTGATTCTATTTATGTCATTTACTTCTTATGCATAAGAATTTATGTATTCATGTCTGACTGATTATATCCCTTCAAAGTACTTTAAGTTGTTATGTACCAAAATAGATGATTTTGAAAAAAACCACCTGGTAGTGGAGGTGAGAGATTTTCCCCCATTCAATCACATTATTTAAACACAGACTGTTTTTCTAAGTCTTCATTAAACTTTCCTGAGAGCCTCAACTTTTGGGTTAAGGTCAGGATGAAAGTTTTCAAGCATAAAATGTCCCAATGAAAAAAGAACAACTGGTAAGGTGGGGAAATGAACTCCAAAAGATGTATCTTCCTGACCTTTGGTTTTATTCAGCTTTAAGTTGCTTCACTTGAAGGAAAAAAAGAGAGGACTCACAGCTGTAAAGGAAAAAATTATCCTAACCATTGGAATAGAAAGAACTCAGGAAGCTTCTGCCTTTCAACACCAGCTCAAGCAACTCTCTGCTTTGTGACTTTGTCGTGTTACTTATTTTCCCCAAGTTCCTTATCAGTAAAATAGGATCATTGTGATGACTGAATAAGATAAATAAGATATAGCATCTGAAGCACCTAGTACACAGTAGGCACTCAATAAACTTAATCAGTTGTATGCACTTGGGAGATACCTTTGTTTTTGCCAAAATTTATGCTCTGACAATTGTCTTTTAATGTCCTTCCCATGGTTAGATCACAGTATTCACGTGAAATTAGAAGTCATAATCCAGAGTGATCCAGCTGGGAGCCAAATAACCATCACTATGGGATCAGACTATGTCACCTGCCCAGTTATCCATATGCTTATTGGCAACTTCGCTCCTAGTCACTGATTCCGTTATAGGGCAGAGTTCTTGCCATCACAGCAAATGTTGTTCAGTGTCCTGGGCCTTCTTATGGAAGGACCTCAGAGACAGAGAATCACAGAATCAGGGAATATCATTTATTTAAATGGAATTTAAAAGAACCAGAGAAATTTTTATGTTCAAGCTCATTCTTTAGAGATAGGACATAGGCCACAGAGAAGAAATTGGCACTGCTAATTAGTGGCAGAATCTAAATATGATTCCTTTTTTTTTTTTTTTAACTCAGAATATGTCTTCATCCCTTGTGCTCCCAAAGAAAGAAAAGACTGATCCTCAATGGCAACAGGTAGTTGTGAAACTAACACCTAAAGCCAGTTCCATGCTCAGATGAGAAGATGTGCCTCCTCCTGGTAGTTGCTAATGCTCTGTACACTCAGAGAAACCTCTAATAGATATGAGGAAAAAATCCCTGTAAGTATAGTCTTCCAAATCTGATTCCTAATCTTTCATCTTTTCCAGTGGTTTTCAGCCACACCAATGTTTCTCAACAGAGGTAATTTTGTCCTCTGAGGTCACTTGATTATCACAAGTATAAGGAAGGGGTTATTACTCCTGGCATCTTGTGAGCAGAAATCAGATAAGTTCCTAAAAATCCTACAAATAGCCCCCACAATGAAGAAGATTAAGAGCTCTGACTGCACTGTTGGATCCAGTTCACTGTCAGTTTCTAAGGACTCCAAAATTTGCCACTTAAGCTACTTCTGTTAGAGCTGGACGTGGCCCCAATTTAAAAGTGCTTACCAGTGACTAAATCACTGAAGTCCAGTCTGCCTCTTTAGTACTGAGGGCCACTGGGATTAAGAGGGATTTAGAAACTTGACCATTCAAGCAATTTAAAGTCTGAGCTTAACTTCTGAAGCATGGTGTAAGGCCCAACGTGAGTGCTTACTGAGGCCTTAAAGATACACTTAGGTCTTAAGAGACAATCTAAGAAAATTATTCTAGAAACCATTTTGGCAAAACACCAGAGAATATCCAAATGCTGAACATCACATGGTTATCAAGTACTCAAAATAATACACCTCAAACAAATACATTTGATACTGCATTAAACATTCTTAAGATTAATGATTTGAATGGAAGAGAGATAGAGGTGGAAGCTTTGACATAGAAAAAAAATACTCTCAGGTTTTCCACCCAAAGTTAGAATTATATTTTGGGAGAGTCAATAATCCAAGCAATTACATACCTTCTGTTTCCCACCCAGGCATGCCATCTGCTTGATGACTATATAGACCTCCACCCTTCTTGTGGAAGGACCTCAGGTCATAGGACTAGGATCACAGAAGGCCAGTGTGAGGGCCAAATGGGAGCCTGGATGTGGTCATATGTGATGATCTATCTGCAAAGTCATTTGTAAGTATGAGTGATTGATCAGTCTAACCCATTTACCCAAAGTTCCAACTGGCAATTCTGACTTTAGTTCTGATCCATTGTAGAAATAATACAAAGGATCCCAATCTGATCCATTCACAAATTTGATCCACATTTAATAAATACAAACTATATCCAAAGCACCATCCATTGGAGGAGCATATTCCCTACTCAAAAAAAAAAAAAAAAAAAAAAAAACAAAGTCACCATGATTCCAAGAATGGAATGCATGCAACTAAATCTTTTATATGGAATTAGAGAAGTAGTAACGGAGAACAAGATCTCTTTTGGATGGAAAGACCTAAGAATGTTCCATGGAAAGAATGGGGTTTAAATTGAAAGTTTAAATGATGGGATTTCTGCAGGAGAAAATAAATGGTCTTAAATAATAGAAATATTATGGATGGAGAAGATAAATATGATAGTAAAGAGTTCAGCTTAACTGAAACTTAGGGTGAATGGAAGGAGTTACCAGAGACAAGGCAGAAAAGTTGAGCTAGAGACAGATGTAGATACTTTTAAAAGTCCTAGACAAGAGAAGATAATTCTGTATTAACCAAAGGAAGTCAATGAAGGTTTATGTTGCTAATTTTTAAGCTGACATAGCATAATCAGAGACATTATGGAAAAAGTAACAGACAGAGGGAGGATGGATAAGAAGACACCAGAGTGAAGAGAGGGGGTAGGAGGTAATCTGAGAGATGGATAAATTCGAATCAAAATCATAGGAATAAAAATAGTAAGAAGGAAAGTTCCACAGCCTCTTCAGAGACCCATTTAGTATGAGTTAAAAAGTTGTTAAAGTGAAGAGCACATACAACAGAATATATAAAAGTGACTCAAAAGTTTTGGTGCTGAGTGAGTGAGAGAAGGGTAGTCATTATGAGACATGCAGATGGAGGAGAAAAGAAATTGAATTCTGCCTTAAATGACCCTCAACTCAGAAAATGATTGCTCAGTGCCAAGGTCAATTCTGCTACTCGTATCCAAATATACTTCTGAGATTCAGTGTTTCAGCTACTACTATACCTCAGATCACTCTCTTACCATGCCTGGTTCTATTTTTTTTCATTGCAATGGCAAAGGACAGCAGTCTACTGATTCTTTATCAGTGATGCTAAAAGCACGTCAGCATTAACCATTGAGCTTTAGTATGTCTTGGGAATGAAGTAGGGGCACAGGTCAGCAGAAAATGAACCTGCTACCACGAGGATATAACTGTTTAGAGACCAAAACCTTCCTGGTCTCAGACATGTTAACTATTATTAAAAGCAAAGGTAGAGATTCTATTGATGACTCATTAGTATGATGATTCATGAAAGCTAAGATGGGCATACCTGACTAAGGGAAGCACTTGCTAAATTTGATCAATGACTGAGATCATCAGATGTGAGTACTGAGCCATATAAAAATCCAAGAGAAAGAAGGCAGACATTGGGAGAAAAATAACTCTTGGTTTTGCATCGCAACAGAGAGAATCCACTCCATTATCTGCATGTATGATATACCCTTTATCAAATAGCTCCCATGTTTGTGCCCAAATATTCATACTATTTTGAGCCACTTACCCATTTAATAAAAAGTCTGAAGAATCAGCAAATCATATATTGTTAAAAAATGAAACGGGGGCCTCCCTGGTGGTGCAGGCGGTTGAGCGTCACACTGTGAAGCTATCTGCAGCCTCTGCAGTGCGGGTTCAATCCCAGCCAGCCAGAGAGAATCCCACATGGTGCAGCAGACCTCTCCTGTCGCACCCGCTGCTCCCCTCAGCAGTGTATTTTGTCAGTCTGCCTGTTCTGTTTTTCGCTCTGTCTCTGGTGAATCCTCTCACCCTCCCACACATCTGGTCTGTACCCTGGTTCTTGTATAAATAAATAAATCTTTTTAAAAAAATTAAACAGAAAAAATACTCAACTAACCTATTAGACTTGAATATAGTCATCCCTTCAAGCACCATGAATAATAAGCAATAGTGTAGGATCTCTTTGTGATCTAGTGAAAGAAGGTTTATGATAGTGTAAGTATTCCCCAAAAGACTCAATTATCCCCAATGATCTTCAATACTTATACCCATTTTGGTACCTAACATACTCTTCTACAATTATTTTATTCATATACGTCTCACCTAAAAGCCTGAGTTCTACTTTCCAGATATGTAAAAATTTTATACACCTTTTTATTTCCAATATTTATTTAAGTGTATGGTAGTAGTATTAAGTAAAGTTTTGTTACATTGGAAGATTTTTGAAATGTGAATGTGACTCTCAGAGTAATAATCAAAAAGATGAGAGATTTTTGGCTAAAGTTAATTGCTCACAGAAATGTCTAGATTTATAAAATCATATATACAGTCACTTATATAGTCATATATATATAGTCAAAACCAAAGGTTTTACTTAAATTATTTAAACAGAGCTAGGATTAATAGCTAATCAACAAAACCTTCATGCTAATGTAGGTTTTACTACCTGATGTGGCTCAAAACTCCAAATCCAATCATCCTGACCAAAGTACTTCCACAGTCCAGAAAAATCAAAAACTTAAACTGTACAAGTTTGCAGAGGTCCCTCAATTTGTGGATAAATCTTTATTTGGACACCTACCTCTGATGGTACTGGCCAATCACAGCATTCCTTAGCACACACCAAAATTAGGGTATGAGCATGTGTGGACGTGGATGTGTACATGTGTTAGAAAAATTCCTAACACAGAATCAACTTATAGCCTCATGAATGACAGCAATTACTTTAGTGAGGGGCAGCCCAAACGTATTTAATTATTTCTAGGTATTTCTGATTATTTTGTACATGTTCTGGTATGCTTTCTCAAAGATTTAAGCTTCTCATAGCCAGATCTGATAACTTAAAAACAACTTGATGAGAATTTTATGGGAAAGCAGGTTTCCTGTGTAATCTCCCTGTCAAATTACCATTTCATCATTTCAGCAAATCTCTTGGAATAAATGACACTTTGAACAAGCTTCATGCAAAGGGAAAAGGATGGTTCTTTTAAAATGCTGATTTAAAGCCCAATCCAATAAGATTTTCTGTGCAGGAATAAGCTTGTGTCCTACCTCTTAGTGTCCTTTCTAGTCAGGCAAAGAATACTTCTAACAGCACTCTTTTGGTTGAAATTCTCGTCTTGGAAGAGATGAGATTATCTCCCTTAATATTAAAAGTGCGACTCAGCAGAATCACTATCATCAAAACATTCTCTTGGGCTCCTACAGCCTGCCTAGTGCTTTATATTTTAAAACATTTGGGGCCTCCCTGGTGGCACAAGGGGTTAAGATGCAACCTATGAGGCTTGGGGCAGCCACTGCAACACAAGTTCGATCCCCGGCCAGGGAGCTACCCACATGGCGCAGCAGACCTCTCCTGACTCACACGCTGCTCCTCTCAGCAGTGTATTTCAGTCAGTCTGCCTGTTCTGTTCCCCACTCTGTCTCTGGTGAATACTCTCATCCCCCACAACTCTGGCCTATACCCCAGTTCTTGTATGTATAAATAAATAAATCTTTTAAAAAAAAAAAATTAACTCAGTTGGGTTATAGTAGGTAGATGATGACTTTGAAATCCAGTGAATTTTTTTAACATGACTGAAAGGTTAATATGTAAGTGAAACAGAATAAAATTTATCAAGAAGATGTGGTACATATATACCATGGAATATTACTCAGCATTCAAAAAAGATAAACACATGCAATTTGCAGCAACATGGATGGCGCTGGAAGGGATCATGCTCAGCGAAATAAGCCAAAAAGAAAAAGAAAAATACCGGATGGTCTCACTCATAGCAGGAATCTAGAAAACTTAAATAAGGGACCAGGAAAATGAATATAAGAAAGTGAAAATCAAAATCAACAAAAAACTATGAACCAGAGACACTTTTTGGGGGGTGGGGGGCGGGAGGGAAAGGATTGGGGTCAGAATGGGGCGCTTGCAATTGTATGGGGGAATATAAAAATAAAATTTAAGATTAAAAAAAAAAAAAGCAAGATATTTTAAATATGTTATTTTTGCATTTAGACCTATCTTTCCCCTGATGTTCAAAGCAAAACTACAATATCTAAAGTCTTTTAATATAACATTTACGTCACTTAATTCTCCTACATGAAACCACCAGCTTTACTTGACTAATTAACCAGTGGAGTCCGCATTGATATGCTAAACCTAATGTGGAAAAGAAATCATTGTTACTCCTATAAGTCCTACTCCAAATAAATCATCAAGTAGAGAAGTATGCATTCAAACAGACCAGCATCTAACAGAGGTATCAAGCTATATTTAAAGATGTATCCTATTCATCAAATAAGGTATCCACATACTCCAACTCTACAGATTCCCTGGAAAAGGTCTCAAACAAATTATTCTGAAAAAGGCAGAAGGTTGGGTACATGAAGAAAGGCTCAAATTCTTTAATGCCTTTTCATCAAGAGATGAAATCTACGAGCCCTTCTCTTGAATCTGGGTGAGGAATCTGTGATACCTTGACTAATAAGATACAATGGAAGTGATTCTGTGCCAGTTTTAGGCCCAAGTACAATTAAGAGACCATCGGTTTCCACTTCTTATCTCTGAGACAACCAGGCAATACAAAGTCCAGCCTCCATGGAGACAACTGGAAGATGAAGCCAGAGAGACAATGTAGAGAGAGAGAGAGACATATAGCACCAAGACTCCCCACATGTGAGTGAAGAAGCCATCTTGGGAGAGGGCCTTCCATCCCCAACAGCCCCAGCTGACATGAGGTGAGTCAAATCCAAACCAGCCAGCCAAGTCCTTTCTGAATACCTGACACAAAATTTTGAGCAAATTAAAACAGTTGTTTTAAGCCTTAAGTTTGAGGATGGATTTTCCCTCAATGATAGATTAGTAGACACGGATCTATTTCATATGAAAATATGTATGTGATTAAAAATAGAAGAGCTCAAACCAATCCTCTATTAATTTGCACTTTATATGACTCCAATGAAGCTAGTACAAGACAGTCTGCTTTTTTATTACCTCGACATAATAAAAAATGCAACAGCATTCATGTCCGATATGCAAAAATATGCTTTCAGAAAACTCAACATAGTAATTTGAAACTTGACAGGTTGGAGCAGCTCTCTTATGAAACTCCGTCTCATCTGTCTATTTATCTCTTTAAAATTGAGGCAACTTTGCAACATCTCATCCCTTAGGTTAACTACACATGAAAATGATAAATTACCTTTTACTACTGAACACTATTATGCCCTCTACTCTGAGTGATTAATTTGCATCCTGCTCAGTGGTTCACATGCAATTACTACCATGTGCCCAATGAACCTGAACAAGACAGAATTATTTAGCCATCTGTGTAAGTTCTCTATATTCTGAAAAGTATAGCAACCACTAAGAAGCCTTAAAGTTTTAGCTCAGTTTCTCACAATGTCATTCACTTCTACACTGCAGAGCAAGTGATGACACCACTACTTGGGATCATGGACTTTATTTAGAAACTACAGGACCCCAGGTAATGCACTATGAGATGAGCACATTAGAAAAGGTAAGGTGAAAGTGACCTCCTCAAAGTACCATTGGTGGAAACTATTGTTGGATTTTAATTGCATTACTGACTGTTGATCTGAATGGAATCTTTTTAAAACTATACTACTACAGTCAAATGCCATCAGTGAAAAGCAGACACTAGCCATTTAAACCAAAGTAGGGACCTCTAATGCTTGTCAAAAAAGATGATCTGAGTCACTCAATTCCTTTGGAATATGCTTTCCAGACTCTTCTCAATAAGATGGAGTAAGTGTTTTGGCAGTGACATTTGCATTAAGCATATTCTCAGTGCCTCTCCTTGATGGGAGGTCATCAAGACTACAATGGTTGATATTCGAACATTACTTTTGTTAAGTTTAGAAATAGTATTATTACTCAGGTTTTTACTGTGTCAGCTCCAGAATTCAAAGACTTTTCCTCAAAAATTCTGAGAAGAATCACATGATATTATCTAATAAATGAAAGAAGAAACATATACACAAGGAAAACAGCCTACACAACAGACTGAATTGTGCGTAATACAGCTGTGGCACTTCTCCCGGTGCCATCAGCAACAATCTGAAAACAACACCAATTCAACAGCATTCAGTCCGTAAGAAAAGCAGTCAGTTTTCATTCATTCATTCATGCAACAGCATTTACTGAGGGGCTACTTACTATATTCCAGGCACTGTGGCAGACACAGAAGATAGCAGAAGGCATATTATACCAGATGCCTACATTTAGGCTGGGAGCAAGAAAGATGAGAGTAGCTGTAGGAGCACAAGAAAAAGAGACACACAGTCCAGAGTATCACCTATGCAAAGGAACAGTGTTCAGTGGGGATGAAGGAACAGTACATGCAAAGATGCAGAGGAATGAGTCAGCATGGTGGGGTCAGAGAACTATAATTAACAAGCCAGATATTTCCCCACTCTTGCGTGGTCAGACTTTCCTAAGTAACTTCTAAATTAACATATTTTGTCCCTGTTAATTCAAGAAAAGCCTGGTGACATACAAGATCTATACCCTTAAGTAAGATTAAGATAAAGACAGTCACTACAAGTTTACCAAAATTTCTTCCTAAGATGATTATATCTTTGGAACCACAGAGCTGATTAAAAGCTATAGGTAAAGTTTAGAGAATAAAGAGGGAGATTAGAAGTAGGAGGAGATGAGCCTGGAGAATAAAAGAAGTCATGAACCCCTTATGTGCCATTACAGTCCAACTAAATTTATGAAAAGAAATAATCATAAAAAAGAAAATGTGGGGGCCTCCCCGGTGGTGCAGCGGTTGAGCGCTGGGTTGCGAAGCTGCCTGCAGCCTCTGCAGCGCCGGTTCGATCCCAGGCCACCAGCGAGGGTCCCACATAGCGCACAGACCTCTCCTGCCACTCGCTGCTCCCCTCAGCAGTGTGCTTCGGTCCTTCTGCCTGTTCTGCTCCCTGCTCTGGCTCTGGTGAATCCTCTCACCCTCCCGCGCTTCTGACTGTACCCAGTGCTTGTATAAATAAATAAATAAATCTTTAAAAAAAAAAAAGAAAATGTGAATACAAGATGAATCAATGTATAAGTTCCACGTGATGGAAGTTCATGTCACTATTATTTAGAGAAGCCATCTTCCCTGTCTATATTCATAATTTGCATGCATACACAAATACACACACTGTTCCCAAGTCAGCAGATATCTGTCAAAGGACACTTCAATGCAAAGTTAAAATAATACATACTGACAAATGATTCTCCATTGGGCATGCAGTCAAAGAACCAGTAAGTCATTTCTGACCTGGAAGGATGCCAGGTCAGGGTCTGCCTGACCCCATGGTGGTGCCCACACCATAGGGTCTGTTTGCAAAGTGTAGCCCTGAGTCAGGTTACCGTATCATCTTTACAGATCCACTTTTCCATGCAATGGGTGTATGTGCATGATGACAGATGAAATTGCACTTTAAATCCCCTTCCTGCAGTCAAATCAGCAGGACCTGACTACCCCTAACGAATTTTAACCTATGTTTTGAGCACAATGGCACTTTATAAGTGAATCAGGCAAAGGGAATTTCAGGCAAAAGAGAATTCAAACATTAAGGGTGCATTTAAAACTCCTCTGTATTTCCCATCCATAAACCTTCAGCACCCTCAGTCCAGTCCCTTCTTGGTCAAAGTTTTACTAAAATCACTAGCTCAAAAGCAACAGCTTTTTGCTCCATATGATCCACTCTCATGTGACGGTACACACTTACAGGGCCATGCCAATCGCCTGCGATCAGAATTTAGCTACAGCAGCAGTAGCAATTCCAAGATAAAACAGGCAACTCGCTGAGAAGGAATCAGGAGACTGTTTATTGCAATTCATGTCCACCATGAGCCAGACTTGAGCAGAGCTGTCACAAATGACTCAACCAACCAGCTCCCCTTCTCAGAAAGGTACTCTTACCTCTGGGATGTTTTCTTATATTTTCTCCTGTAGGAAAAGAAGCATAAACACAAATTAGAAAAGGGTTGGAAGCTAGCAATGGGTTAGAAAAACGTTAATTTGGTGCGGGGTGGGGGCATGGATATGAATACTTTGCAAAAGGACCAGTTGAAAGTTTGGGATTATTGTTACATTGTGGTTAAATATATATATAACCATAGTCCTAACAGCTACAGAATAGCAACCCAAGAGCTCAGTGGCTCTTGACCACTATGTTCTTCCCTTTTATCCCTGAGAGTGTAAGAGTGTAATATAAAAAGGGGAGGTTCCATGTTCCCTGCCCCACCTAATGAAGGTTGGAGCTGAGCAGCCAGAGGAAAAAGGCCTTGGGAGAGAAGACTTGGAGGAGGCACATGGAGCAGAGAGCCATGTGAAGAAGCTGTGTTTGCTTCTCCACCTTGGACTTGCACCAGGGACTTGGGGAACCGGAAGGAGACACTTGGAAAAGATATGGGTGAGAGACCCGGAGGGAGGCTGGCAATGGCAGCCTTTATCTTGACTTGTGCTTTGATTTTGTTCTTTTCCTTCCAGACTTGCCTGGCCCCTTATGCCCCTTTCCTGTGTTTCCTGCCAGGAGATGCCTTGGCTTTCAGGCCTCAGTGGCCCTGCTTGGACCAACCCTGTTTGGCTGGGCATTTACCCCAAAGGGGATGGATAACTTTGGGTGATTCATTTGGAAACTATTATCCTTTCTTCTGTTCTATTTGCACACTAGTTCTATTAAAGTTCTTTTCTATTGAAGGTCTTATGCACTAAGAGTATACTTTGTCTTTATGCAGTGGATGGCAGAACCTAATATTTAGAGCATGTGGAGTTTGGGAGTCTTGGGGTACCCCAGTCTGCCTGCTAACAAGAGGATGAGAGCTTCTTAACTGAGGTCAGGCTTTAAAGATAGCAAAATCCAGATTCAAATCCTAACAATTCGGGTGTTGTTGAGAAACAAGGGGGCAATAGCTATTAGCTATTTGGACAGCCACTATTGTTACTAATACCCCCATATGTAGCACTGAAGTCCTTTTAAAAATGTGCCTTTTTAAATGTAAATGTTAATCATACAGCTAAACCACAAGATCAATATAAAGTCTGGAAAGAAAGAAGTTGTACAGCACATTGATTATAGTTAATGAGACTAATGCATATATGAGAGTTGCTTAGATTGTAGATCTTAAAGTTCACATCACAAGAAAAACAATTTTTGTAACCACATGTAGTCATGGATGCTAACTACACTTCTTGTAGAGTTCATTTAGCAATATATACAAATATCAAAACATTACATTCTACACCTGAAACTAATAAGTGTTATATGTCAATTATAGCTCAATAAATCAATAATTTATTTTTTAAAGATTTATTTATTTATGCATACAAGAACTGGAGGGTAAGCCAGAGGGAGAGGAGGGAGTTGAGAGGATTTACCAGAGAGAGTGGGGAGCAGAACAGGCAGATCTACTGAAATCCACTGCTGAGGGGAGCTTGAGAGACAGGAAAGATCTGCTGGCCATGTGGGTTAAAAGGGAAGGAGGGGCTAATGAGAGAGTTTACAAAACAAGGTGAGGCAAGCAGCAGTAAGCTCTTGCAAATTGTGGGCTGTCCCTGGAAGTGGCTGGAGTTTAGTGGTAAGAGACTGCCATGCACAGTCCTTTTTTAGCCTCGGGCAAATCTACTGGGTTTTGGGCTAATTAATCCATCAAATGGAGAGCGTATCTCCCCTGCGGATATTCAAGGGGAGAATGACCATAAAAATTTACTGTCCCTTTATCCCCAAATTTTCATGCTTATGTCAGTTTTCATAGACTCTGAAGACTCTCAAAAAAAACTCTAATAGGCTCTCCACTAAAGGGAATTAGAGGAAGGGAAAGTGCTGGGAGAGGAAAATCATCTCCTGTGGCATTTCCAGGAAGTACAAATCTTCCCAGCAGTCCTTAGTTCCACACCCGCAACCCCATTACAGTCACTGCACCAAGGAAACCAGGAGGCTGATTTGCTCCTAGAGCTGTAAGTCACACTTTTTTTTGTTTGTTTGCTTTTTTAAAAAGGGCAAAGATGTTTCAAGTTCAGAATCGCTACAACCCATTTCATCTCTGTTCAAATGAAAACATAGATAGTGATGACAAGTGTGAAGCAGAGAAAGCAGCAGCAACACAGAACCGACAGGGTAAACATGACTAGACACGTACCAATTTCAAGTTATCCAATGATTATCATGACCTAGGGTAGTTGCTTAATGGATGGCTTCTTTTATTTTTACTTTTATTCATTTTACATGTTTTCTTTTTTAAAATGAGTGTTATAAGCACAATTTTAAAAATTAACTTTTAAAGAAAAAGAAAAATACCGGATGGTCTCACTCATAGCAGGAATCTAGAAAACTTAAATAAGGGACCAGGAAAATGAATATAAGAAAGTGAAAATCAAAATCAACAAAAAACTATGAACCAGAGACACTTTTTGGGGGGTGGAGGGTGGGAGGGGAGGGATTGGGGTCAGAATGGGGCGTTTGCAATTGTATGGGGGAATATAAAAATAAAATGTATTATTTAAATTTAAAAAAAAATTAACTTTTAAAAAGATGATAGCTGAGGCAAGAAGTAACCTCTTGCATTGCCTTGTCTCACTTATGATTTGATAAGAGAATTCTAGAATGTTGGCAGGCCCTTCCCCTCTCTATCTATAAGGGATCCAGCAAGCACTATGATAAATCAAGTTTTAGTTTCCACATCGATAAGATGGAAAGAATAATTTCAAAAAACATGATGTATTGGATTTACTGGGTACCATGTGTGCCATGCAAGGAATAGTCTAAACTTTGAGATCCCATAGCCCCTTGTTTTGAGTTTCCTGAGGTGAGTGGACTTGTCATACAGATCTCCATCTGTCCCAAGGGTTGCATGTGATTGGCACACAGCAAATATGTATTAGCAAAATAAAGGAGTCATGTGCAACTACAACTTATACCAATCAAATAAGGATTGTGCACTTGGTAACCCAAAGAGGAAATAAGAAATTTGATTTTCAGTCCAAGTTGCCATCGTGACACTCACTCTCAACAGTCATGGACACTTCTTGCCTTCTCAAATTCCAAACTTATTATCTTCCTCCATTTAAACCTATGTAGCCCCAAAATCAAAACAGACTCAATCCAAATAGTGTCACCTTACACAGGATTTGGAAAGTCAGACTTAGGGCACAAGAGAAAATGCGGATTCATGAAAGGTTTAAGAGCCTACTCACAGATCATCTTCGCTGGGCAAGACCATGATGCCTGAGGCCTACTCATTCTTCAACTCTCAGTTGAGACATCATTTCTTCCTGAAAACCTTTTAGTGCCTTCCAAATAGCATTACTCCTTTTTGGTGTGTCCATGGTGGCCAGCACTTACCCACAAGTTTGCACTAACTCCAAATAGAGTGGTCTGTTAGGCTGATGCCAAGATTGATGGCTTGTCCACTTACTTACTGGTATATCTCCCTTGCCTAACACAAAGCTTGATAAAGGGCAGCTGCACAATATATTGTCATTGAATGATTAAGTGAATTTATCCAGAAACTGATCAGAATCCACTCTACTCATTAGTTTACTACCATGAGCAGTGAGACATCTCCCACACACATGGTGTCCTCCACAGGAATAGTGCAGTGGGGGGGCTTTGGGGGCTCACAATCATTGAGCATTTCATCTGTTCTACATCCATTCCATAAATTAACTCATTGTGGCCTCCTACAAACCCTGGCAAACCTTTGCCTTTCTTTACTTTTGACAGAAGTGAGATGTAGAGGGTAAGTCGCTTTCCTAGGATACAGAAACTTAAAGTGTTTGAGACAGAAAGTAAACTCTGAGGGCTTCAAAGAAAATCGAGGAAATTATACAAAGAAGCCAAGGGATGTCAGACAGAAACTTAGACACTAGACAAAAATAAGCACTGGACATAACCAACAGCAATAGGACATAGTGGGCTTTTTCCATTCATGCAAGACACGAACTGGAAAAGAAACCAGCTTATTCTTAGCCTAACTTCAATAGAATTTATCCTTGATTCATAATCTAAAAGACAAAGGGAATGTTTTTAAATGTTCTGTTTGGGTTTTTCAAATTTTAAACTTACAATTCTTTCAAACTTAAAACGATACATCACAAGTCTCAAAGATTCCTAGAGATAGACTGAGCTGACGTAGAAAGTGAAGGATGTTTGAGAGCTGGGGTGCTCTGGTAGCTGGCAAAGTTGGCAGTGAGGGAGGCAGACACAGCATGGCTCCACACTCGGGCAGAAGGGAGGCCATCTGCAGGCATTCAGGCTACGGGACCACCTCAGTGGAGGTCTACAGAAGCGCTTCTCAAACTCTGGCTCTACTTATCTTCTCACACAAACAGCATTGTTTGTTGTTTGTTTTTGTTTTTTTAAAGGTAAGACATCACCATGGAATGCTTGAGACCACTTGTCTGAGCTCAGTTCTCTTCTGCATCTTTTGTCCAATAAGCTGTGTGACCTTCAGCAACTTACATCACTTTTCCAACCACCAATTTCCTGATATGTGAAAGATGGATAACAGTAATACCCACGTCACAGTGTGGTGTGGTAGCTAAATGTAATAATGAAGATAAAGCATATAGTGCAGCACTGGGCTTCCAGTAAAAATTCAATTGAGAGTCAGTTACTGTATTAGTAACAGTAGTATTACATAAAAGTGGTGCATAAATAATAATGTTATTGCAATTCAGTAGCTTCTGAATTTTGCTTGGGGTGGAGGGAAATCTTTCATTGATCAAACAATTTTAAAAAAAAAATTTGAAGATTGCATTTCTAGAATGAAAAAATTGATTACTCCCAATTCTCCTTTTCTTAGAAGAACTGAACAAGAAAGAAAGCAGGTGCTAATCTCAGTCCTGCTAAGAGGAAGGAACCGAAACCCTATCCAGCTTTGCCCCCACCCTACCACCCTCCTTGTCCCAAGGGACCCTACAGGCTGTACACTCTGCCTCCCACATAC